GAGAGTGATTGCCTAACGGTTTTAGGTCTTCGTCGTATATGACGAGATTTACCGTTATACATAACGCGCCCAGCCCTTCCAATTGCCGCTTGACTATCGCAATGTAGTATATTGGTGACAATGGTTTGGGCCAAAATGGAATGTCTTTCAAGAAATTTCGGAGCCATTCAGCTTCTTCACTGGCTTTATCTAAGGCTATGAACTTAGCCTCCATTATAGAGCGGGCAATACAAGTTTGTTTGGACGACTTCCAAGATACCGCCCCTCCACCAATAGTGAGTACATATCCACTTATGAACTTAGAATCAGTTGAACCGGTGATCCAATATGCATCACAGTATCCCTCAATCACCGTAGGATATTTACTGTAGTGCAAAGCAAAGTCCTGGGTATGTTCTAAATATCCCAAAACTTGTTTCATGCCATCTAATGAGATTGACCTGGATTACTCGTGTATCGACTCAATTTACTTATAGCACAAGCTATATCTGGTCGTGTACAATTCATGATATACATTAAACATCCAAACACACGAGCATAATCCAATTATGATATGCTTTGGCCTTTGTTCTTTGCTAGTGCAAGATTCACGTCAATTGGAGTCTTTGCAACTTTAAAATCTAAGTGCTTGAATTTTCCAAGTATTGTTTAATATAATGAGATTGTGACAATGCCAGACCTTGAGGAGTCTTATAGATCTTAATACCCAGAATTAAATCAGCAACTCCCAAGTCCTTCATATCAAACTTGCTAGTCAGAATACGTTTAGTCGCATTTATGTTGGCAATGTCATTACTCATTATCAGCATATCATCCACATATAAGCAAACAATGACTATGCGATTTGGAATATTTTTAATGTACACACATTTATCTTAAAATCATTTGACAACATTGTTTGATCAAATTTCGCATGCCATTGTTTGGGTGCTTGTTTTAGTCCGTAAAGGGACTTAACAAGTCTATACACCTTCTTTTCTTTACCTGGAACCACAAACCCTTCAGGTTGTTCCATGTAGATTTCTTCCTCCAAATCTCTATTTAAGAAGGTCGGCTTAACGTCCATGTAATGAATTTCAAGACCATAAACTGCAGCTACTGCTACTAAGGTTCATATGGACGTAATTTTCGTAACTGGAGAGTATGTATCAAAATAGTCAAGACCTTCTCGTTGTCTATACCCTTTGACCACAAGTCTTGCCTTATATTTATCAATAGTGCCATCATCTTTCATTTTCCTCTTAAAAGTCCATTTAGAACCCAACAGTTTATTTTCAGGAGGAGATCAACCAATTCCCATGTATGGTTGTTCAATATGGATTCTATTTTACTATTGACTGCCTCTTTCCAAAATAATGATTCCGAAGAAGATGTAGCTTCTTTAAATTTGAGGCTCATTTTCCAATAAGAAAGTCACAAAATCTGGTCCAAATGAAGTAGACGTTCTTTGACGTTTACTGCGTCTTGGATCATCCTGATTAAATACACTTTCTTTTGTTTCTTCCCGCATTATCTGATCCTATAACCGTATTATTATGAATGTCGGGATTTTCTAATTTTTGAACCAGAATTCGATATGCTTTACTATTGGTCGCATATCCTATGAAAACACAATCAACAGTTTTCAGTCCTATTTTTACCTTTTTGGGTTTAGGAACTTGCACTTTTTTCAAACACCCTCACACTCTAAAATAATTCAAGTTCTCCATTTTTTATATGGAATCGATTGCGTTTTGTTATGGGGTACTCGATTTAGTATCCGATTAGCCGTAAGAATGGCTTCCCCCCACAAGTTTTGTGTCAAACCAAAACTTATAAACAATGCGTTCATCATCTCCTTTAATGAACGATTCTTTCTTTCCGCAATCCCATTGGATTGGGGCGTGTATGGGGCCATTATTTTATGAATAATTCCATATTCTAAACATATTTCTTCAAAATGAGATTCATATTCACCACCCCTATCACTTCTTATCATTTTGATTTTCTTGTTAAGTTGTGTTTCAACTTCATTCTTGAATACGTCTATTGCTTCATCTTTACCATTAAGTAAGTAAATATAGCAATATCGAGTACCGTCATCAATAAAAGTTATGAAATACTTCTTTCCACCGCGAGATGTATTGACTTCATGTCGCAAATATTTGTGTAAATTAAGTCTAAAGGATTTGAATTCCTTTCAACTGACTTATAAGGATGTTTAACATACTTAGATTTTACACATATTTGACATTTTGATTTGTCGCATTCAAACTTAGGTAATACTTCTAAATTAATCATTTTTCGCATGATTTAATAATTGACATGTCCCAAACATATATGTCATAAATCATTTGACTCAAGTAAGTAAGAAGAAGCTGGAATTTTATTATTCTCAACGACCATTACATTCAGTTTGAAAAAGCCCTCAGTGATGTAACATTTTCCTACAAACATCTCATTCTTACTTATTACAATCTTATCAGATACAAAAACACACTTAAACCCGTTCTTAACGAGAAGTGCAGCAGAGACTAAGTTCTTCCCAATCTCGGGAACCTGAAAGACGTTGTTCAGAGTCACCACCTTGCCAGAAGTCATTTTCAGAAATATCTTGCCATATATTTCAATTTTGGTCGTTGCAGAATTTCCCATAGAAAGCGTCTCTTCGGGTCCAACGGGAGCTTCTCTAACAGCACAAATATGGCGAGTGGCTCCAGAATCAATCTACCATTTCTTAGGATTTCCCACCAAGTTGCATTCAGAAAGCATAGCACACAAGTCATCAATATCTTCGTGCTTTTCAACCATGTTTGCTTGACCCTTCTTCTTGTCTTTCCTTGGAGCACGACAATCTGCAAATTTCTGTCCAGCTTTCCCACAGTTGTAATGATTTTCGTTGAACTGCTTCTTGCTTGGGTTGCTTTTCGGTCCAGAAGTCTTCTTCCTCTTTCTATTATTTTGAGGAGCATCCTCAATAATGTTTGCTCCCATTATTGTTGAGTTTCCACGACCTTTCTTTTCAGCAGCTTTGTTGTCCTCTTCAATTCTCAACCGAATAATGAGATCTTCAAGCGACATCTCCTTGCATTTGTATTTCAAGTAGTTTTTGAAGTCCTTCCACAAAGGAGGCAACTTCTCAATCATCACTGCAACTTGGAATGCTTCATTGATGACAAGACCTTCAATGAAAATTATGTTAGTAAAAATAATATAATTAATACTTTCAACATCAGTATTAATTCGACTTATACCTTCAGCAAGGAGATCGTGAATAATCACTAGCAATTCCTGGACTTGGGTAATAACAGACTTGCTATATACTATTTTGTAGTAAAAAATTTTAGCGGCAACGAATTTCTTCAGCTCGGCTAGTTTTGTATTTCCTTTCAAGCGCAATCCACAGTTCTTTTGACATCTCCACATTACTGTAGATGTTATATAGATCGTCCTCCAGTCCGCTAAGAATGTAATTCTTGCATAGAAAATCAGAATTCTTCCACGCCTCAGTCACGAGAAAGCGTTCATTGTCTGGAGTTTCGTCGGGCAAAACAGGAACATCTTCCTTAATGAACTTTTGTAGACTTAAAACCGTCAAGTAGAAGAACATCTTCTACTGCCACCGCTTGAAATCAATCCCGAAAAATTTTCCAGGTTTTTCTGCCGGTGCCAATGCCAGTGTTGTTCGGCTTGTTGATGCATTGGCAGTCACCATAGGAACAGTCTGGTTTTCGTTGTCATCCGTCATTTCTGTAAAATAATGACACAAATAAGCGTTTAATAAACGGCGAAGTTTTTATATCTTCAAACCGAATAAAACTGGAGTAGAAAATCACGTAGATTTTAATCTCCAATGGAGTAGAAAATCGCCACGAAGGCTTTAATCTTCAAAACGGGAGTAGAAAACCACTAAGGTTTTAGTCTCCAGAACAGTGAGTATAACACAAATACAGAAAATAATTAAGTTCCTTAAGCTTGTTAGTAAACTATATTTGTAAAATAATTCCGGAGAAGATAAAATAACGTATAAATAGAAATGTAGAAGAAACAGAATTTAATCTAAGCCCATTAAATTCACAGTGTTTCCTTAAGGAACTTAATCCCCTCCTAGTACCCGAGGTTGTGGATTATTTCCTCCCAAGTTAGAATGAATTACACACTGGTGTAGCGGTACTTCAAACCCCAGTGTTTCAGCGAACACAATGATCGGTAGCAAATCACACTTACTGTTGCTTTCTTTGTAGTTAAAACAGTGCAGAAGAAAGGAGGAGAATTCAGAATTTCGTTTGGAAAATCTGAGAGAATGGACTACTATTTATAGCCAACATGTTGAGTTCAAACGAAGAGGTGCAACTCTTCAGAGGTCAGTTATGACTGTTCACGTAAAACGGCCATAACGTAAATGGCCATTTACGCAAATTAAAATGGGAATTCAAAATGCAGAGGAAAATTAATTTTCTGTTACGAAAAACGATGAGCCGAGCGACGACGACGACGCGAGGCTTGCCTTCTTCTTAACTCTTTAAGAACTAGAAGAAGAGCAATTGTATATATACCCATCAAAAGTCTTTTCCTCCTCTGATATGGGACAATGTCCCTTTGTCAAGGAGGGAAACTCAAATATTTCATTTTCCCTCCATTTCTCATTCACCCTCTTTTAAGCTAAAATAAGCTTAAAAAACCCAACAACACTTTGGTGTAAGCTACCACATTATATTTCTGAAGGTAGCCCTTCCAGAAGTAAGAGGAGCAATTTGATGCTTAGAACCAGAATAATGAATTGTAGATGCATATTTTATCTTTCTTACCTATGCACATACAGCGTATCGAACCATGTTGTTTGTCAATTATCAGATTGGTACTTGATAACAATCACCGTTTCTCTGCCTTACTTGTATGTGATAGTGTTTGACATTTCTCAAGTGGATGGGTGTCTCAGGTAATTGTCTGAGATTCATTATATGCATAACTCAATGAAACTTACATATACAAACAAATTTGATAATAATTATATCCGAATCTAAGCAACATAGAGCGTTTATACTTTTCTGAGATGAGCAGTACTATGCACTCTTTCTAAGTAAATATGAGCGTTAAAACCATTTTGCAACTCACTATAAGAATGGATTATTACTTATGCTTTATAATATACAGCAAGATAGTTGTCTCATTACTCGTCCAATTGGGTCACAGCAAGTTCAAACCTTGGTAACTTAGAACAAAAATTAAAAACCAAGACATCATCCACTCTCTATGAGTCAAGCTGAGCATACCAGATACCCTGGATTTTTACATCCTTAGGTACCTTTGCTCCCAAATCAGTATCAGATGGCTGAATGCTCTCAAACACTCCAATCACCTCACCAGTCTCTGGCTTGCTCTGTGTAACACTCAGTGTGATCTTTCCTGTTGAAGACGAAGTGTTCTTTACGTTCTCCTTCTCGAGCTCCTCCTCGTCTCCTCTGCCTCCAGCTGGCAATGCAACAGCATTGTCGTAACCAGTGGATCCACCCCTTCCCTTTGGGTCAAGGAATGATGACCCTCTGTAAGATGGCACAAGGAACTCGCCACTAAAGCTGTCGGGCTTTCCAGATGCCACGAGCTGTTTGATTGTGAAGAGGAAGGGAACACGCTCACCACCAGGAAGCTGAACTGTAACAGCAGCATAATCAATTCCGTCTTTCTCCTCAAACTTAACGGTACCATCAGGGGATACTTCAAAGGGTCCTTCAATCTCATCAAGAGTGTAGGTTAAGCGCGTCATGAGCTTGGTTTTTTGGAATTCTGGGGGTGCATTCTTGCTTACGCTCTCTGCCTTGACGGTGAATGAAGTGGGCTCTAAGCAGAACTTCTTGGCATTGTATTTGCCTGGCTTGAAGGCAAAGCTCTCAACACCTCCATCTATTGTTGGGCATTGGTTGGCAGTTCCAGTTCCCTTAACTTCCATGTATGTCTTGCTCTGAATTTCGTCATAGGTTAGACGTTTTGGAACTCCTTCAGCATTTGCTCCCTACACGACCAGGTAACACAATCTTTAGAAACTTCACTCATCAGAAAAATGAGTCACTACTAAGGTAGCATTCATCTAATTGTACTTATAGTGACTAGATCCTTTCCCCATAAAGCACTGGTGTATAATTTACTAACAAGTTTTAAGATCAATGGAATCTCAAGCCTTATCATCTATCTGAAATTGTACTTTCTAGGATTGATAACTTATCTATGTAGAAAAAACTTGTTGAGGCAAAGTAAAGTAAATCAAAGTATACTCCAAGCAACAACTTAAGCTTTTAGACGAGATTGTCACATAATATAACATACTAATAAGAGTATAAGAGCAAACAAAGATTCTGCGTTCGAATCTAACTGTCACTTGTTAGAACTTTCACGTGTTTGGTCCATAAAAAAGAATCATAAGTGCATGTTGAGACATAAAGATGGTCACACGATCTAACAAAATTATCAAGAAAATCAACTTACGGAGACAACAAGGGCAGAAGTGGCAAGAGCAAATCCAGCAATCTTAGCAGCATCAGTGCACTTTTGAGCCAAATCTTTTAGATCAGATTGCAAAGAGAAAGTCAGCCTAGCAGCAGCTGGTTCAACACCAAAAGCCTTGCTCACACTTTGAGATGATCTCAACTGCAAGTTGTTTCTGGCTGAGACAACACCAACCTTGGTTGGTTGCATAAGAGTAGCAGCTGCTTGTAAAGAGGCTGCCATTTTTTTTTCTTTTTCTGATCAGTCTTTGGGCTCTTCTTTGTTTCTGTTTATTAGAAAGTAAGAAGAGTGGCAGTTGGATGGTGAGATTGCAGAAATTATTTTTGGTGGCTTTGCTGTGAGTAAGATAAGAGATAGGATAAGGTCTTCTTTTATTGGGTAGACTGACCAAATGTCTCTGGTTTCGTAGCTTGCCATGTGGCTAAGTTAGTATTTAGGATATAGATACTCATTCCTTCTATCTTGCAATAAAATTGCTTGACAACCACGTTTTTATTATATTTGATATTAAGAAAATTTTGATAAAAAATAAATAAACGGTTAATGAATAGTTCCACTATCCGGATCTTGAGTCACTTCACGTTTGTATTTTGTTTGCCAGGTTACATTTGGATATTGCTAAAGAACAGAACCATATTCTTTTTCCGCCAGAATAAAAGAGAGCAAAACACATTGTAGTGGCCACGTTATTAGCACGACGCTCTAACCAACTGAGCTAATGGGCCATTTGACATACTTACTATCGTTTTTTAATTTATTTATTGAATACTACTCCGCCTCTAAGTTTCTCTAGATCTCTAGTTATGCCTTTACTTCTCTTTGCCCAGTGGGTTTGGATTCCTATACTACCTCTCACTTATCACGGTAAAAAGTTATAGGATAATCCATTAACCCAATACGTTAATACTAGAATCATAATAATCCTTGTATTACTTACTAGTATGTATTTTTTTTTTTTTAGGCATAATGGCTTCCTGGCCACTTAAACTTTTTAAAGCCGATACATGAACTTGTACTTTTTCCATTTGAACACTCCAACTTGATTCAATGAATACTAATAAAAACATTTGACCGTTGACTATGCCTATGTGGAAGCCGCGCAGTTGATATGGCTAAATTGTGTGCAAATCACGCTATAAAGGCGCGTGAATAGTATTGTTTTTATTAAAATTAAAAAGAAAAAGAAAAAGAAAAAAGAGACATTTCCATTTCCCCTTCTCTTTTCCCCTTGTCTTCCCTACCAAACTCCCACCTCCCCTTTCCCCCTCCCCCTTCTATTCTACCGTATTAATAAAGTCAAGCATTTTAATTTTGAACATAGCCACTTCTAGCAAAACATAGAACACAACCCAAACAAAGAAAAAAGCTCAGAACCTTAGCACACTCCCAACGCACTCGCGTAACTCCTTCCAAGATATCAACACCAAACTCCAATAACCAGAAGAAAACTAGTCTCAATGCCTAGAAAACTAATCACTCATCACAACAAAGCCCTACACAAGAGCTACAAAAATAATATTTAAGTTGACTGCCCTTCATTTGTTCCAAAATTTCCTGAAGAAAATAATGCTCAAGAGATCTCCCCAAAGAACAAGCAAACCCTTGTTCCAACAAACTTTCAACTCCAGATGATAGTCCAATCTCCAGATAGAACCTCTCCAGATTGCTATCCCTCCAAAATAGCCGCCGACTCGAGACCGGAGACAAGTTGCTCGATTAATTCATCGGAGTTTTCAGAAGCGCAAGACAAAAATAGCCGCTGACTTTGTGAAGAAGCAGTTGGAAACTCGCCGGATCTATCACTGTTGCAATCACTCAAAGCTGAGGAACTTGCGTTAATACTGAGATCGGTGAAGGTTCTTCCCAAATAGGTGAAATTCGATTGAACTTCAGTCTCCATTATCGGAGCTTATGTTTACAGTCTCCATTATCGGAGCTTTTATTTACAGTTCATGCCTAGGAGGTGAAGAAAAAAAGAAGGGAAAAAAAAGAAAAAATAGAAATTTAATAAATTTTGGAAAAAGACAGGGCCCACAAATTGGGACCTTGAACATACAGGTGTCAATAAAGTGTGGATGAATGGACGATGTTGCTATATAAAATATTAAATTAAATTCATGTTAGCAGCAATTGATCAACACACACCATCACAAGTGTTTATTAGTAGCCATTTTTTCAAGGAAAGGTGTTCAAATGGGAAACTAAAGAGTTCATATACCGGCTTTACAAATTGATGCAAGTTTAAGTGGCTAGGAAGCCAATTCGCCTCTTTTTTAATGTTTGGTTAAAGTATTAGAAATAATCTATATGATATACTATAATTTAAAAGATATGTTTGGTTTAAAAATGGATAACTCTTTTTAACAATTAAATCTTGATCTTTTCTTAGAATAAAAGGGAAATATAACGGGTTTTTCCTAGTTATCACAGCAAATTTTTTGAGGGTACACATATAGCCGCCGTGGTTCAATTTCTTCCTCCTCCATCCGAGGAGGCTTCAAAGTGCCAGTTCACAAAGGCAAACTACCAATATTATATGTATCTCAAGATACTTGGAGAGTACACAAATGTTACTTGGAGAAGATTAATAGGCAACAACCCAGGATTTCCTAAATGGCTGTTCATAGTGATGGTGGTTCATCGAATGTTACATACAAAGGATCGGGTAGCCGCTAGCTCACTGGGGAATGGTGGTAGATCAAATATGTCCTTCATGTCAGATAGCATTTATTCAAGGAAAGCTATGGAGTAGACTGAAGAAATGCAATGGCTTGAAAGTAGTTGCAGAGGGAAGAGTGAAGCAACCACCATATCGTTTGAACAACCTTGGCAGCAACTTTATATTACATTTGGCAAAAAAGGAATTTGGTGGTGTTTAGAGCAAATGAAGACAACACCGTGTGCAGGAAGTTGAACACTAGATTAAATACTACTAGTATGAACTTTTATCCTGCTTTGTTAGGATTCTAGGCTACTGAGTTGTGTTGGAGTGCAAATCCATGGTAGTCTAGTTTGCTGGTTTTTTTTTCCTTGAGCTCTAATTGTCTCAATTGGTAACAAAATTGCTTATTTACCAATGAAAAAAATAGCTTCTCAAAGTATGTTATCCCAATTTGGTTTGAATTATAAAAATATGCTTCTATTCATTTACATAGTTGATTATGTATGGGCTTTAGCGAACTAATGATTCTATTAAGTCAGTAGTCGATTATTCGGTATAAAGCGAACATTTTAAACAAATTTAATGCACGTTTAATTAAACATCCAAAATAAATAGCGAACATATTCTAGAGCAGCCAGGGCCTATGTCAAATTACCCAATTCATTTCGCGTTATATATTTCACTTTAGATCCCTGTCTTTTGTACTTTTCTAAAATAAATGTTTTGAGAAAGAACGATTTTTTCTACTTGCCTATAATTATTAGTAATCTATAGCTTCTTCACCATAGTGTGTATTAGGAAAATATTTAATAAACTTCTAGAACAAAAAGCTTGCCCAAAACAAAAACATTTGAAGTACTATTATTTTTTACATGGGTGAATTTGAGTGAAAAAGGAGGTTTTTAATATAAAAAAATGTAAAATCACACCTTCAAAGACTTTTTACCAACAAAGCTTTTTGCCTAAAAGAAAAGCTTATTCTGAGAAATCACATTTTTGGATTAAAAAAAATTGCAAAATGTCTAAAACATTCTGTACAAACAAACGTGTGACCTAATGATCACCTAGCATTTGAAGCAATTTTTTTATCTTCGCTGCAAGTCTCAAAAATCAGAAAAAATAAGGTATAAAGTATAAATCAAACTTTTAAAGCTTCTTCTCAACTAATACTATTAGATTAAATCATAAGAATAACTCAAAGTAGAAATAACCGAAGACAAAAACAAAAGGCAATACTAAGAAAAGTAATGAGGAAGTAGTAGCAGGTGGGGAGTTCCTCTCAGACAAATGCCTCGTATTGTCCTCACGATTTAAATTGAATGGATTTCAATCAGACTCGTCATCTGTTTTGTTCATCACTGAGGAACTACTACACCCCACCACCTTCTCAATTCAAAAAAGAACAAAGAAAATTTGGAAGTTCAAAAGATTAAAACTCATTCCCTACTGATATGTGTGTGCGCGGGGGCGCTCTAATAAACATTGCTTACCTCCTTGACAGCGAGAGTATGACAAGCTTAGATTGAAGCAGTTGTACTTATAGGCGTCACTAGATTAGGGTTTGGCGTTAGGATTTTTGCAACCGAGAAGAGCTGCCTAAATTGACAAAAGACTTTGAGAAAATACACGGGGCCGGATTGCGTAGCCCGACTTACCACTACTGGGCTTCTTTGTTGCCCTGGACCAGTTTAAGCACTTAAACGAAAGTAGAAATGGCGTGGGATACCCACTATTTAAGGTGGTATTTATTTTTTATCCAGTAATTCTAATGTTGAGCAAAAATAGCCACTACACTATTAGAATTAATATGAAAAGACAATTGTACCCTTTCCTCCATTGCTTTTCTTCCCAAACCCTTGCTTCTCTCAACGTCAGTAGCCTTGCCAAGGACCTCGAAGAACTTCTCACCCTTCCCATCTCACCTGGCCGTGATGTTCAAGGATAGTGATAATTATCATTCGAGAGATTAGATCTTCTCGTGTGCAGACTACTAAGAAATACATAAATAATTGCAATTATTTTTGCTCATACAGACAAGCAACTAAATCGTCATCACTTGTATTTTCATTAGACTAGTAATGAAAAGGTTATGTAGATTTGTCTTATCAATGTTGCATCCAAGCCAAATCTGACATCAATCTTATATGTAAATTGCAATTATTATTATTTTTTTTTTTGTGAAAAGATACAAATAACGTTTGGTTTTCTGCTACGTTATGGATCCTGAACTTACAGTTACAAGTTCAAAAGTTAAGGACACTTGATCCTGAACTTCGAGTTCCAAGTTCAAAAGTTAAGGGCACTTGGTCCTGAACTTAGAATTACAGTTCAAAAGTTAAGGACACTTGGTCCTCAACTTAGACTAACAAGCTCAAAAGTTAAGGACAATAGGTCCTGAACTTACAGTTACAAGTTCAAAAGTTAAGGACAATAGGTCCTTGACTTTGATTTCCAAGTTCAAAAGTTAAGGACAAACAGTCCTTAACTTACAGTTACACGTTCAAAAGTTAAGGACAAGAAGTCCTTAACTTACAGTTACAAGTTCAAAAGTTAAGGACAAGCAGTACTTAACTTACAGTTACAAGTTCAAAAGTTAAGGACAATAGGTCCTTAACTTTGACTTACAAGTTTAAAAGTTAAGGACGCTTGGTCTTGAAGTTTGAGTTCCAAGTTCAAAAGTTAAGGACATGTAGCCTTGAAGTCCTGAACTTAGAGTTCTAAGTTCAAAAGTTAAGGA